AAAAAATCAGAAAAGAAAAGCTTCCGATTAACGCACTCCAGTTTGTTAGAATTATTGTAACATGGAAGTAAACATCCATAGAAAAATTGTTTTCCTACACACAGGTGAAGGTGCTGCAATCTTCAATGTAACGAACGGTGTTTCGAGAGAGACATTCCTAAAATGGCTTAGAGGAGGAGCATTATCTGCGGTACTCACAGATCCAGTCTTGATCGATGCCACTATCCATCAATATACTGATTACGCCAACATCTCAAGCCCAATCACGAATCGTCGTATGTTTCAAGATCTACWGGGTGACATGGGATTTGTGGYKCCTTGYATTWCAGGYGCAAACGCRCATTCMAARTCGAARAAAGCAAAGACATATTTGTACTCTTTTGAACATCGMATTGAMCGTTTGTATGGTTTKAMAGTCCCATCMTGGGTAAAGGCGAACCACGGTGCAGACGTRMYATTTGTCTTTGGTTWTCCGCTGTTAAATGCTTCAACGACAACGGACGCAAATTTTTCTCGCGAAATCATCAAATATTGGACGAACTTCGCAAAATCAGGGTAAGCGAAAGAAATAAAGCTGTGCGAACTATAGAAAAGATATCACATGTAGTGATACAATTTTTTTATGAGGGTGTAATGTGGCTACCCTAGTGATTAATCCACCATTCACGGCTGTCGGTCGTCGCTGACTGTTGTCGGTTAGTCCTCTCTCGATCGATAAACAAACTCCTTCCCCTCCCCAAACAAAAAGGTGTAATTTAATTGTAGCTTACATGAAATGAGTGATCCCAGCGACAATACAATTTCTAATGATTGCACTTTTTTCTTGAGAAATCCAAACGCTCCAAATAGTGTTGGCCTTACTTGGCCTGAATACACCGTGGAGCAACAGAAATACATATCACTGAAACCCAACATGGCGGTCAACAGTCACCTTCGTGCTGATTACGTAGGATATTGGAATGCGTTCGTTCCCAGTGCCCTACGAGTAGCACCTCAACCTTGTAGCAGAGCTAAAGATAGAAAAGCTACAGGTATTGCAAATTGTAAAACGRGGCTTAACGTTCAAATACTTGTGAACCAATAGGTACACTTATTATAAGGAAACGTTGGAGGAGTATTATGGTACCTGAAGGTTATAACTTCACTGTGTTTCGCAAATTATCGTAGAGGTATTATTCAATTATTTATATTAATTGTACTTGTTCATTGTAATTTCAGCTGCTGTAATACTTTTGTYATCTGTGGTCACTACCTTTTTATTCTGAGGAATGACGAAGCCGATACCCTTCCTGAACAGTACAACTTGCTCTCTTCTCTACCAGACAAGAAAAGAAAAAAAAAAAAGAGACGGAGACGTCTCTACCACTATACAACCATTCTCCACCCGTAAAACCAGTTCTTCACTAGTATAAAATTAGTTCTCTGCTAMCAAAATCAGTTTCCCAACAGTAGCAAAACCATCAAAGAATTGCCCCAGAAAAGTTGTTTMGCAGCCATATTTGTTAATCTTACCTTATTTGGAAATACGATAGTACTGGTTTTTGGCGATTTTCTCGACTTATAAAGCATGAAATTGTCTGCTGAAACTTGCAGATATTATAGCGGAACACTTCTCAACAATCGGCCATTTTGTTTGTTTCCATATATGGCATGGATTCGCTAAAGGAAGCCCGAAACTAAAAAGCACAGGGATCCCGCACGAATGACATACAATTCTTTGTTCCCCCCCAAGTCAAGAAACTTACAGCCAGTAAAACCAGTTTTCACAAGTAAAACCAGGTTTCCAACAATAAAACTAGTTCGAATAACCTGCATTACATTCTACAGTCAAACATGTATAAAGACTTAAAAAAAACACAACAACAACAACAACTAAACCAAATATACTACGTGCTTAGATATGGGACGTGATTAAACACAAATGTTTTGTTAAACTCATGTTAAGACATAAGCTACCTTCGGACGACCATGTATTTACGTCTTCTTCGAATGATTATTCCGGTCAACATAGTTGATTTTTGTGCGTGACTTGTGCAAAGACGCGACGTCATTTGTCCCAGCACTGTCCCAGGTTGTGACTCGTTGATCTTTGGACACTAAGCTCTGAGTTTCCAGTGAACATGTATATGCCCGTTCCTTCCTACTGGTGGGGTAATAGTGATTTCTCTCTCCATCCAATGCAACTTATCCTCAGCCGGTAAAAGCAATCCCTTTTCACAAGTTGATGACAAAATTGCTAACATGAAACATCACTCATCAGGGTTCATCATGCATTTCAAGATAACGAACTCCTGGGATCTCCAAACGTACGTTCCAAAAAATCTTAGGATAGAAAAAGCAGACTCCAATTTTTTTCCTTCACCGCTACACTCTGCTTTTATTTCTGAATTGTGAAAATGTGCATGATTAAAAAAGATATATACGTTTTTCGTCGACATAATTACTGTCCACGGTACTAAAGATCGACACCAATTTACCAAATGACAAGAAATATGCATAACCCATCTTTGATTTTCATCAAGAATCAAGTAAAC